TTAAGACCTTGTAATTTCCATATTATACACGAACACACAGCTAAAGGCATACAATCTGGCGCTTAACATTTTATAACACAACAGGAATGGAGTGAAGTATTTTTATCCAAAAATGATTTAGAATGAAATTGAATTTTATTAAGATTGTTCAAGATAGGGCGCTCAAGTAAAAACCATAAGAATCTACTAAATAAGTTCTCCGAATAATTGATACTTCTCAATTTGAATAAAACCGCTGTCTTTTATACGTTACGTACGTGTAATAGCTTCATTACTTGAGGAACTTAATACGTGGAATTCAGAGTGAAAATACTAGGGATGAGATTTTCGAAAGTCCCGAGAACTATTCGACAGAATTCGCGAGTTTATCATGACTTGTCCCCAGACGATACAACTGATCTGCGCTGCCTATGTTCTAATATGAAATACGAAATTCTTGCTTCCTTATCAAGCAGGAGCTACCACTAATCACATTTTCCAATACTTACACCCTCTGCGAACATAAAGACACTCAGTTCCGACCTTTATCAGTGATATTACCAACGCCCCGAAATCGCTGTGTCCGAGAATGCTAGCTCCGGTATTGCCTTTATCGAGATCGGCTGTGCCCTTGGCGTCGTCGGACGAAATGACGATGGATAACGAATGAGACAGACGTCACTATATCTCTCAACGCTGATTATTGCTCAAGCGTTTCTATTAAGTATCTTAAACGCATTATTTAATTCGTTTTCAATGTAGGGAGTAACCTACGACGAAAACTGAATAAAACTTCGATCACACAAGGTACGCCGCAATATCACTTTATAACATCTATACTAGTTATAGCAAATATAAATCTTACGAAACCCTTCTATAACGCTAACTCCTTAACCCATCAATTATTAAGTATGTTATTTCAACATTTCCATTATCAACTAAACCTTTAAACGCATTTATTTCGTAACTCCATTTTGACTTTCTTGCATACTACGTAATTACCTACTAAACAAAGTACTGCAGCGAAAAGTGGCGATATATCGACAGAAAAACTCTTATCGCAAATCGCTGATAACAATAAATTGGATAATTTTTGCAGCAATTTGTAGTAAATTACTAGCTCTAACACTTTGTGTAGTCGGACCCCACATTGTGTGGGTTCCTGTTACCGACAAAAATGTTTTGCGGCATAACGTCTGCCTGCCTGTCAATCCATCCCGTCCATCTGTGGACGCTACCAGCGCCAAACCATTCCGACATTTTTTCCAAAATTGATTCTCTCCAAACGATCTCGCCGAACTCGAGGCAGAGAGAATTTAAAAAGGATATTTGGTTTTGGGGACTACTCTGCATGAAACCTTCATGTCATATTCAAAATTTTCTAAAAAAATACTCCAAATTCTTTCTTGAATTTTTTTGTACATATGAAGAGTAGTTTTTAGTAAAAAGTACGTTTTTAAAAATGCCACATGCCCATTATCGTTAAACTCTCTGTACTTTCGAAAATTGCAAAAGTTTTTTTCTCCGCAACAACACTATGGATGAGATTTTTCCCTTAAGCAAATCTGTACTTCAAATTTAAATCTTTAAATAATGTAATTTTTCGTTTAATTTTAAGTGACCATCACAAATAATGCAAGAAAGTATGTGATGCAACACCATTAATTGTTATTACATTTAGTACATAATCTGAATTAAATTATTTATTTGCTAGACTTATCACAACTGAAACACACCGAAACTCGAGGTGCTTATTATTACCAACAAACAGCACAGGGCAGGACCCGCCGATTTTGTCGAGAACAGCCAAGAAGGACGGGGTACCGACGGTTTCTTGACAGAGACCTACGTTTGGATTTCACTGGCAGATAAGGTGCAGGGGCGCCTTTCGAGATAGCAGAGATTTCGATACACCACTCGCTAGACTGCTTAAGGCACATAATTTGGGCGGGGTTGAATGACCCCAAAACGCATCTGGGTTATGCGTTACCAATGGGACAGGAAACAGACGTGTCGTGGGTTGCGGCTGATGCCTTTTTTAATCTATTTAAAACAAAAGTTGTGTCTTTAATTGTCACAACGCGTCTCCATGCCCCGCGGGGCGATGAGCACTTTGCGTTTCGATAGTAATCCTCAATTCATATGAGCGCGGGAGTCCGGAGTAATCCTCCATTAATATTTCAATGTCATATCCGTCACGTCTCGTCGCAGTCAGTTGTCAAGAGGTCCGCCAAGTAGCATCTCCGCGAACACGCCTCCTACTACGCGCCTCTGCGTCACTACTCAGCGGTCATAATTGGAATAAATTAGGATTGGGGTAGGGTTTAGGACACTTCACAGGGTAGCTAAAGCATGCAAACTCGTTTTGTCGTAACAAATTTCACATGATGTTCTACGGGGATTTTACGGGAATCGATCCCTGAACCTCGGTGGTGAAAGGCAAGGGACTTCGCCATTGAGCCACGATTTCACTAACTTCCTTCCAATCCTCCACTACAATATTATTATCCCAAATTATTCATAAACAAACATTCTGTCTGTGGAACTTGTTAACTGCAACAGCAAAAATGCTGCAGAATAAAAATACTTATATCAACATATTAAGTGCACATTTGTGCACTTAAGTATCATATATCAATTTATTAACTTTCCATTGACAGGTTTTGAAGCTTTTCTGGGTTTTGTTACCTCAATAAACAGCAAACTAAAATTACAGCCATCGTTCATATACCCGTATGGATTCACCATCATGCTGCACAAAGAGTGCTAATCGGATAGGCACATGGGATGGTTGATTAATTAAAATGTGATGCCAAAACCCATGAACTGGGTTCAATTTAATCGGACAAATGACGAAGAACCGTCACATTGTAAATAAGAAAGATTTGGTTATTGTAAAAATCATGGAGGTTTGTTCATCCCATGAATACGTATGTATTAACTGAAATAAGAACAGTGCTCTTTTAGCAGAGACGCTTGATGTTGGACAACTTCCTCCTACCGTATTTGTAGGTCCGCTGCCAGTTTGCACAATGCAATTGGGCGAGTTTAAAAATGACAGTTCAAAGGGAAATGCTTCCCCTCACATTTTCCACCGGCCCCACACTGCAGACGAGAGGTGCACACACCTCGTATGTAACGAAAGGCTATGAGGGAATCTCGTCAGCGCAGGGCTGTTCCAATTAGACGAGATTCCCAGCTCTGAGGTCTCCTTTCAGAAGGCAAAAATACGCACGGAATGATGAGGGCCCGGCTCGAGATAAAACACGGGGAGGTTTTAGTTACGTGTGGCCGGGGTCGCGTTTGAACGGGACGGTTTCTCAACGAATATGAATATTTGATTCTTTTTTATTCTCTCGTGGCTAAACGCATATATAAACTCAACTCGTGTATAAACTATGCCTTGAGAACTCTATTAACAGTTCACTCGAAACATTATAAGACATTCTATAAAAAGTTTGATTCTTCAGAAATTGACAGATCTTTAAGACGGAGAGCAGATTGTGATAACTCAATTTTTTCTTCACACAATTCTCGCTGCACTACTTTCACAATATATTAATTGAACCTAAAATGATATCATGAAAAATTGTATCCGAAACAAATCAAGATGTTATAATGTACTAAAAATGGCAGAACTTCAACATCAGATCATATCAAACAAGAATAAAAAATGTAAATACGCGAAGAACGTATGTATACGTAATGAAACTTATGTGTGTTATTATACTACAGTGCATCACAGCACTCGACGCTAACCAATTATGGCATCGTGATACCCGAACTTGACAACGCCTGGGCCCATTTGCACCACCCACAACACCTTGGTTTTTCTATGAACAGTGGTTTCCTAGGGGGCCACAAGGAACTTCGCGCCAACGGTCGGGCAACGGTTGCGCCCCCCTCCGGTAGAGGAGGAGAACTCGAAAATGGCATGTACAAGATGGTTGCACGGGCTCGGTGGACTTGCACCCTGGCTGCTGCAAGGTCTGGGTGGACGAATGTACGGCCTTTTGCTCCCTCGCTGCATTCGCTGGCTGGTCCTTGGTTTCTTCTACCCTTGGCTGTGACAGTGAGCGCTGTTGCACTGTAGATATTAAATGGCTTGTACAGTTATATAGGAACGTAGATTATGAGTGTGGATTATCTTAAGGTAACCCCTGTGGATTACACACAGAAATGTAATTGCGTTTGTTTTTTTTTGTTAGCTGAAACTGGGTGGATAAGAGGCAGGTTACCCAAGATGGCCTCAGTGAACGCGACTAATGCCACAAGTTCTTAGTATGCGGTATGTAATTTAAGAAACAAAGAGACACGATTCGATTACACCATAGTTCATTGTACAATGAAATATGCGTCATAAATTCGCATTCTTGTCATCCTTTTTTTTTCCAGAAAGTAAGAAGTATGTGTCCTCAATTTATTATTTTGTGTTTCCAAGTGCCTCAAGTGCTATAGTCATTGCTCCCAATACGTTTAGCGCATATTTTGTATCACGGAAGGTGGTGTTGTTCTTCTCCCACTAGAAGATGAGATCCGGCGCCGACCTCGACGTCGACTTCCAGGGTTTCCCCATTCAGTGATCTCCCACCAACCGGGCAGCACCCCGGCTAGCTCAAGATCCTGACACAAGTTTAAGCACCCGACTGATCGTCTTGCATGTGCGATAGTGTAATGCATCAGTGTGTGTGTGTGTGTGTGTGTGTGTGTGAGAGAGAGAGAGAGAGAGAGAGAGAGAGAGAGAGAGAGAGAGAAAGAGAGAGAGGGAGGGGTGGGGATAGGACAAGGAAGGTGATCGCGCGCGGTCCGTCGCCGAATTATTAGAGTACTGCCCTGAGAAACCACAGAAAACTACCAAGAAGAGCAGACAGCACCTGAATTCTAGCTATCTAGACGGTGTCGAAAATGCTGCCACCGACAAGATTCACTAGGATTTCACGGTCAGAGGCACTGCAGTGACATCGGTTAATGCCCTCTCAGTCGGGAAGTGTCCTCGATACGCCTCTGAACCGATTACTTACCACAAAATTTTAGGCCGGAGAGTCTCTCGCACAGCTCAGTTGAAATCTGAAACAAGGTGCAAATATATTTTACAATTTTGAAACAATTAATATATCAAACAATGGAACGTAGAAACTACAATTGAAATGCTTCAGACTTAATTTACAGCAACCAATAAACTTTCATGAATGCCTATTCAATTTTGAGGGTTGTCAATCAAATTGAAAGGAGAGAGAAGTATGGACAAATACATAACGTCAGCTATTCTATAATATCCTTCATGAAAAAAAGTTGACCAGCCTCTTAAAAAGGGGCAAAAATGGTAAAATGTGAAAACAGAAAATGATAATTGACAGGCAATGACTGACAATTTTAGGAACCAGGTGGCTTAACACGAAAAGAAATCAAATGCATAACAGGACGTCGCAACGGTTCCATAATAGAATTAAGCTGTTTTCTCACAATCTTGAAAAGAGATTTGAAAGAAATATGTGGTTGGAAAAGATACAATCAACTTTCTTAATGATTCATGTTATGGGCAAAAAGTTGAGGTTTTCGTCATTTCGACGTTTAAGCGGCCGTTTTCCGAGAGTTACGACCGAGGGTCCACGGCAGTTGTAAATTCTCTGAAGTGGACCGGAGGATGCAGGTCACTTGCGAATTTTCCTTTAGAAGAAACTAACTTCGAATCAACACAGGTGGTTAGGGACCTTGCCTTTCCTATTGTAGGAGTTACTCTATGAAGGAACTAGTTTGACATTCCGGGAAACAAATGAACGTGCGATAGGACGACGGCATTGCAAGATATAGTATTGAAGTCATTTAGATATTCGAGCTAACTGTAAACGAAATCATTGACGAATTGAAAGAATGGGCAAGGGCTTGCAGTTACGTTGCCAGCAGTGGATGTCAAAGCGGTCCCACCTTATAGTAATGTCTCTATACATTCCGTTTTCTTAAAAGACAGTCTTCAAAGTTTCTTTGAAACTAAAAGAGGCAGTGACTTTCATAATTAAATACTTTCAAAGTTTGAGAACTCAAAAATTATTATGAAATTCCAACTTTTTGTCACATTACTAAAGACACTTTGCACCTAGTTTAGGAATAGAGAAACCAGAAAAATTTGCAGGATTATCCATTAAGTGCAATCGAAATTTACAAAGGTCCATAAATATCCAACAAAAAGGAATATGTTGCTGCCACTTACAATGCACATTTCACACATCAGATGCCACAAAATCTTACCCGTGTCGAGTGAGCAGTTGTAAAATACGAGATTGGAACGAATTCTCCTTCACAAGTATCTAGAAGCCGTGAGACCGCAATTCAGTCGTGGCGTCTGTGACAAGCTCCGGCCCCTTTTCCCTAAAATCAAAAGTAGGTCTGGCGACACGGGGCTAAAAGGGGCGCTGGCTCCTCGAAGCCCATTTTTCGCGAGTGCTCGAGGAACGAGAGGCCCGCGTCGCCCCGCAGCGCTGCATTATCGCCCCGTGGGCGGGCGCCGGCCGCCCCCGCCGCCGCATTGGAACGCCGCAACCCGCGCCGCGCCGCGCCGGCCCGCGGGCTCCCCGCCGAGAGAGGTTCTTGGCGTTCCCTCCCCTCCCGCGGGTATCCGCCGGCGAGGGCGATCGATTTACACGCGACCGTGAGGGCGGAAGCCGTGGTGCGGAGACTGTGGCGATGGTGAAGGTGGAGGGGTCGGAGTTGGTGGAGCTAACGCCATCACTTTTAGAGGCGGTGAAGATTAGTGGTGGAGTGTGCGCATGGAAGGATACCTGAGGGCGCTGCCGCGGAGTTACAACCAGTCGGTGGAGGTAATTGTTGCCGGGTGTCAAAAACCAAGAAAGTAGACGTATGTACAAGAGTGAGGACTGCTATATTCTATAGTTCTATTGGGAACCTAGTTGCTAAAGTTGGAGAAATGAATTCTGTTCACGGCAGTATATTTGGATCGACGGAAATGTAGGTAAAATTTTTTGCTGGTGATAGATACTGAATATAGGTACATTCTAAAGAGATCAAAGTTGCTGAAGGTATATTGAAGAAAGCACAAAAAATCATTAATTAACAGAGCAGCCGGCCACTAGAATTCTCTAGACAGACGCCGGATTCGACCCAGCAACAGAGTTAGTGTCGAAAACCCGACATACGGAGGAATCGAACCTTACGACCTCCCAGTCAGCGCCTCTCAGCCATTTCCGTTGTCGCTGATTTACTGAATTTTGGGTCCATCGCTTCTCATAACTCGTAGAAAACCGCCGCTTTCCCTTAGCGTATTATAGTTTACGAATATAGATGGATCCGCGCAATTAATATTTCATGTCGGCGAGAGCATTCATGTAGGACGGGGCTGAATGTTCTCCAATTTGCATCGTAACTAATATTAAGAGATATTATGAAATCATTGCATCAACACAGAAGTGATGCCAGTTTCCTTCATTTTTAGAGATAGAAATACACTTTTATTTGTTTCCTTCAAATTTGAAAAGGTTGGAATCCCGAATCTTTTTAGTACCTTAAGCATAATATTAATAAAAGCCTGCAAATGTGTAGAGACGAACTTTCAAGGACTGATGACAGAGAAGCGGTTGAAAATCTCGCGAAGATTTAGGAGCAATTGGACGTGATCAACGCCATTTACCATTTTTTAACAGCCCCCGGATATAACGCAACAACTGATTAATCGGTAAGTGCGGTACAAATGAGAAATTGCATGATACACTGGTGCAAGTTGACGTTTCCAAGTCAAAATGAACATAAATTAGCACGAGACGCCCGATGGCGTGAGCGCCTTCACTTAAAACGGATTGCAACTATTGCCAGAGCCTGTAAGGGAGGGGCGGCCGGGAGGGGAGGAGGCGCCCGTGGGAACGCGCGGGCGGCGCGGCGCGGCGCGGCGCGGCGCGGCGGGCGTGGGCTCCGCATCAGTCGTTCCGCGCTGCACGCTTCCTCCTCCACAATGGCGGGCGGCCGCCCGCGGCGACGCTCCGCGCCACTCCGCTCCGCTCCACTCCGCCCCGCCCCGCCACGGCGCACACTGGCCCGCAGGGAGGCCCGAAACACTCTCGAAACGTACGCCTTTTCATGTATGCGTAGGCTTCCGCGGCCGGGCTCATTGGCTACATAGCTGCCCGGGGTGAGCCGCGTGTAAGTCGATCGAGCTGACGTTTCGGCCATCGTGTTGCGGCCTTCTTCAGAGCTATACTGCTGCACGCTTTTTGAAATCAAGAGTGAGATAACGAACGAGCTTTACGTGGAGACGTAGATATCATTCTTGACAATAAATGTGGTATGTTGTTCAAGTGGAATGTCCATGAACACATCTTACTTTAAACTTGCGTGTATGATTATTATCTGCATCCTCGTTTTCCGCGAGATTCTCCGCAATTCATGTATCGACCTGAGATAATCCCATGCCTAGTTCTTTAGAGAATAAATGGAGTTTTATTTACGCGAAGTGTCAACAAATAGTGCGAACGTGAACAGCGTATCGTGAAACGACGTACAATGACAGAGGTACTTCCGCAAAAGAAAACTCCAAATCATTCAATCGTATAAAAGAAGAGCTCAGAGAGATTGGCGCTTGCTCCGAAGTCGGTGCCGTTTCGGCCCACTGCGCACCCTGCAGCCTCCTGCAGCCGACGCGCGAAGCGTGCCTGCGCCCGACAGCACGCGCGCCAGGGCGCCTCAGTGGAGAAGATTCGCGTGTGTTCACGGAAAATCCTTCGGCACTTTCATACATCAATCACGTTCCTTTGGAACTGCCACGTTATGGCGTAACAGAATAGTTTAACCATAATCGGGTCTTTCTTAGTACAATTGGTCAACAAATATTGAACCACTTGCCATTTGGCCATAAGTGTTTTCTTTTGTTTAATAAAATTACAATGGGTTCGGGTTGGAAGAGTATAATCGGGAAAATAAAATATAAAAACTTAAATGAATATTACTCTTTTTTCGTTTATAAATAGAATTCACTTAAAAAGTATATTAAAATCGGTTCATTCATTACCAGTGGTTAATTAACACGATGTTGTTGCGTTTTCTGACAAAGATAGCTTATATGAGAAACTGCTTGAAAAAAGGAACTTACTTAATGATATAAAGTATATTGTGCGATTAAAATGTTAAAAATATTTTGACCTAATACACAAATAATGGGCCATTATTTTTTATCTATAAATGAAACAATACAAATATTTTTTTAATGTTCACAGTTGTCTAACTACCTAGATGAGAATTATATCAACAGATCGAAGCTTCAATCATTATGAGGTCAATATTCATAGACTAATAACTCATTTTGTGACCAATGCGATTCCCCTGACCTTGTTTCTTGTTTATGCTACTTGTATCAAATCCTTGAACAGCTTTCTTTGGGACGTCTTAGATTTCGAATAGATCAATTTCTGCTTAGCAAAGAGCATTGGAATCAATAATCAGTGTTAAATAAGAATGCATGCTTGGGGTGCTTTGATTCCGTTCGACGTCATTAAACAATTTTAACTTTAACAATCAATACCAAAAGAGGAAAAATCAAAATAACAGAATAATTAATGCGCCATGATTAAAAGAGTCTGAAAATTAATAGACTGGAAATTGAATGACAGAGAAGTTTAAATATTCCGCCAGAGCATCATTCTTGTTACAATAGTCTTACGCTGCGCTGCAGACGGTCCACGAAGAGATGAGATGAAAGGTAAAAGAATAGCTGCTTCAGAGACTCCCCCCCCCCCCGCTTACACACATTCGTTAAATGCTATAAAAAGGGAGATTTTTTTATCTTGAGCTTTATTCATGCCTTTCATTGAAAGTTATGAATAAATGAAATGTTTTCCTTTGATGTACTTAACCTTTGTAGAAGGGAGTTTTCTCTTTTTATTGTATCCACATTATAAGTCCAAAATGAATTAATCTACAAACGAGAATGAAAATCGATAACTGGTTCTCTCATTAATGCCTTGGTAAGATACTACCAAGAAAACGTTCACATACAGGCAGATTTCAAAGAAAATGGGCACTTCTTGTTCGTAATTTCATGTGCATCGTGATTAGTGTTATACGCT